ATTTAAAAAAATCAGCCAGTTAAAAGTGATATACGATCCTGTCTCAAAGTTGTAAGCGTCAGGTTTGATAGGGAGGGTCCGGACCCCCCGGGTCCTCCTCCTGGATCCGCCACTGAACTATGAAACGAGTGTTGTTACCATTGTTGTTACTGTTATGAAAATTTGTTCTCAGCACTCAAATCAATAGATTTACCGAAGTCATTTTAACATAAACACCCGGATATTTGTGGCTGAGGTTAGGATCTTTAGGGGATACTTTTGCCCCGGGGGTTAATTACATTCCTAGGGATTATTCTATAGGGGTTGGAACTCATCTCCTATCCCACCCTTAAACCCCTATGAGTTAAAAACGAGCGGTAGACAGGTGATGTCGCGTAATAACTCTGACTGAGACATGCCATGAAATTGGCCGGCTTTTTCCTGAGAGATTATAAACTTAAGAGCCTCTTAGCACGAGCCCGGGTTGCGTTGTAGCCCAGGTTAATTGACCGTGATTAATCCTTAAAATATCCAATTTACACTAACCTAGGTTGCCAGTCTGCACTAGAAAATGGTTCGCTTCGAGATTGACCCGAGTAGCCTTTGTACTGATGAAAAACCCAACAACATTGGCTATAATGTCACAAAAATACGTCCACTATGATGGTATGATAGAAGGTCAACATGTAGAAACAAGAATGAAACGAAATCACTGAAGAAACTGAAGAGAAACCAGATAACTAGTCTTTCAATTTACGTGAAATGGGTGGGTTCGTGTTCATTTTAAAATCTCTTTCACTGATCAAGTGACGACTTAAAAGGCGATTCGTGTTAGAGTTACAGCGAATGGCCTTAAGGAACCAGAATCAGAAAACCCTTGCTTTAAAAATAATCATTTTCTAGGCTGGACAAACACGAAAGAGAAACATGCAAATCAAAAAAGAGCGAGGATGGTATTCCTTTGATCACTAAGAGTGATTAGCAGCTAATTTCTCCTCACAGAATCACAGTTGAATCGCATATAAACGTCGTGAGAATAAGAAGCTCTTGATTGTTAAACAAATTCTCCTTGTCAGCACCTTGGAAAATTTCTAGAAAACAGCATGGAGAATATGCATACTGATATTAGGGTGTAAAGCGTTAAGAAGATTGAAATGGATTTTGAAATCAAATTGAAATCGAGGCTAAAAGGAAGCCGCCCACCCCACAATTGACTTGGTGACGTACATCCTTTGAGAGATGATACCTCTGTTAATTAATTACCAATTAATATTTCTGCGTCACTGCACTGTTTATCCACATGTTTTTTCCAAAACAAAAACACTGGGAAAACATATATAAAAAACTAGGTCCTTACCAGAATATTTTGCCCAAAGGAGTCTAGTCGGTCATCAGAACCATTGCGCGGGTCTCAAGGACAAGATTTGAACCTAAACGACGATGGAATTTGACGGGAAAAGTATGTATGCAGCCTCTAGCGGCCAAAAACCACATGAAGATCAAATGGGCCTTGCTGCTCAGCCCTCAGAGGATGAATTTACTTTCCATTCCGTTCTACCTCCAGAGGAGACAACCAAGTTGTCCCTGAGCAGGGCGAAAAAGATGACGAAAAACGCACGCAATTTTGGCTGCGCCTCTGGAGTTATCACTGCCAGGTGA